TACACATATAATGTAAAACAACGTTTGAAACCTGCAAGTTTTAACAACTATGAAATTCCAGTTTTTTAAGAACATATAAACACATATCATAATTTCCACAAATATCTCTCAGTATTTAACAGATGAAACTGTTTAAAATAGGCTTAATGTCATAAATATATTTCTAACATTATATTTAAAAGACAATTAACAGAAAAATAAACGTTTTTTCAGTAATTTTGCATTGATTTGTTTGTTAAATGAGATGTATGAAACCATCTATTATTCTTCAATAAACACCAAAAAGCCAAAAATGTATGCATAATAGCATGTAAAATAAGGACTAAAAATTTATTGGGATTATGGGAAACTACTGTGGTACTATTCATCCATCATCTATACACCACTTAATCCTCACTAGGGTCGTGGCTGACTTAGGGTGAAGGCAGGGGACACCCTGGACAGGTCACCAGTCTATTACTGTGGTAATATGAGATGGTTATATTTTTTTTTAAATATAGTTTTACTGTATTTTTGTGACTCCCTGTCAGAATATTGTCATTTTTTTGATAGTTTGTCTTGTAACAAACTACATTTTATGCAGTAGTAAGTTACTGCTATTTCTATAAGCTGGATTCTGCATTAAAATTAAATGCTTGATAAACAAGAATGGTACTGTCCCATTTCAAGTGATACTCCTTCACCTTATCAAGCAGCCTTTCCAATATCCATCCATCCATTATCTATAGACCACTTAATCCTCACTATGGTCGTGGGAGGCTGGAGTCTATCCCAGCTGACTTAGGGTGAAGGCAGGGGATACACTTAGAGACAGACAACCAAGCACACTCACATTCACACCTACGGACAATTTAGAATCACCATTTAACCTCAACATGTTTTTGGACCTTGTGGGAGGAAACCGGAGAACCCGAAGAGAACCCACGCTGCACGGGGAGAACATGCAAACACCACGCAGAAAGATCCCGCGTGTCCTCACTGGGACGCGAACCGGCGACCTTCTAGCTGCGAGGCAACGATGCTAGCCACAGAGCCACCTTGCAGCCCCCTTTCCAATATGTCTTTAAGTAACACAAATCCCCTAAAAGCCCTCTGGTTGTTCTGAAAAGTGCATTGTCATAGAGCTAAACACTGGGATATTTTCTGTCTTTAGCTCTGTCAAAAAATTAGTTTTTCAGATACATGGCTTTTACAAGAGAGCCACACACACAGACACACACACACACACACACACACACAATCAATCACTTTTCTTAAACACACATTTTTAGTTTCAGTTCAGGGCTTTCAGTTCTGTTCCTGTTTGTGTCTGGACCCCACCCGTCACCGAGGTTTTTTGGGAGGCTGTTGCCATGGAGACAAAGCCATCCCTCCCCTCCGTCTCCGGCCTCCACCATTATGACCAGTGATTTCCTCTGAGTCAGTCGCACACCTGCACTACACCTCATTCTGACAGGACACGTCTCACATGGGAAGTCACTGGTCCCACACATACTCAGAGCAATCTCGTGGTTGTATGTTTGTGTGTGTGTGTGTGTGTGCGTGTGTGTGTGTTTACTTCTACAGCACAGATTGCCTAATGGGTGTGTGCTGGAAGTCCTGTGAGATTACACACCGGTGTGATGTCTGGATGCGATGTCTGTCCCTCTCGCAGAGCCCCTCCTGGACACCTGCAGGAAAACATAATTCTCACCAGCCTCTCCGAGATGCTGCAGGTGTGAATCACGTCTCCCTCCTCCTCACTTCTTCTGTCCGACCCCTCGACTCTCCAGAAATAACCCCTGCTCATGAGTCAGGATCCTCGTCCGGCCCTCTGAAGGGGACATGCATGGAAGTGTGAGAGGTGCACGAGTGGAAAAATGTGACTGACATGGAAAAAAACAAAACCAAAAAAACCCATCAGCGAGGGATTTGAAGCGAGAATACAGCAGCAGCAGAAGTACAGGTGACTCCGGTGGGACTGAGGGAACACGGAGAATTATGAAAATGGAAAAGGTGGGATGTGAGAGGAAGAGACAGAAAGAGATGAGTAAGTGTGAATCCTCAATAAAGGTGCCACTCCTTGAGGAGTTTCTATATCATTGTTTAGTTTAAATCTCATTTCAATTGCTTTTCTGTTTAAAAAAAAAAAAAAAATCCCTGTGTCTGAGTCTATACGTGCACACATATTGCTCCTGTCCCACACCGTCTGCAGCTTTCTCAGCCTTGAAATCACATCCATCATCTCTTCAGCTGTAAAAAAAAATCATTCATACTCAAGGTGTTTTAATTTTTTTTAGCTCTTTTTTTTCTTCGTCTCTTTGGTTTAAATAGAAACAGAGTAAAAGAAGAAACATCACATTCTTGATTAAAAGTATCTCTTGCACTACAAATACATTTACTCAAGTAATGTACAAAGTTAACTTTCATGCAACAACTCATCAATTCATCAACAGATGTTGCACAGTGGTTAGCATCGTTGCCTCACAGCAATAAGGTCGCCGGTTTGCGTCCCGGTGAGGATACCCGGGATCTTTCTGTGTGGAGTACCCTAGTGAGGATTAAGCAGTGTATAGATAATGGATGACGATGAGCTTATAAGATATTATGCATTGGTGAATAAAAACAAAGCTGAATCAATTCCAGCTGTCTGGTGGTGACGATTTACTGCTTTTCTCTATTTCAACTGAACATAGAAACTGTAGTTGCTCTGCTTTCTGGGGAAAACAAGCAGGAATTTCTTTCCTTTAACAGACCAAATAATAATCACAAACAATGATTAGATGATTATATGTCTAAGTAAGATGTTGGGCCATGATGTGCTGACAGAACAGCTCATATGCAACCACAAGCTCCTTGGCAGTGGTTCTCCAAATCTCTGGAGCTCTACTGGACAGATGAACACCATTCTTCCAAAATGTATTCACCTGTTTGGTGTTTCAATGATGGTGGTGGAAAGTTGCCCGTAGATGTTCAGCTGGGTTGAGATTTGGTGACTGTGAAGGCCAGAGTGATCCCTCATGTTCTATTAATGGAGCCATTGTCATCCTAGACTCCCCTTCTGACAGGCATGTTCCATCATAGGATGAAGGTGATCAGTCAGAACAACTTTGTATTCATTTGCAGTGACCTTTTGCTCTTAGGAGGCAGCTGGACTTAAATCCTGACAGCAAAATGTTCCTCACAGCATAATAGAGCCACCGAATCTTCTCACTGGAGGGCTCGAGCATTCAGGCCTGTTTCTTGTGTAAGGGTGGCTCAGGTGGTAGAGCAGGTTATCCTCTGATCGCAAGGTTGCTAGTTCGATTCCCTTCCCCTCCTTGGGCTTGACACTGAACTTGAAGTTGCTCCAAATGGCAGGCTAGCACCATGCATGGCAGCTCTGTCACAATTGGTGTGTGAATGAAACACATTGTAAAGCACTTTGGGTACCACTAAGTTAGAGAAAAGCGCTATATAAGTGCAGACCATTTACCATTTGTGTGCCAAACATGCAATTGCCCACTTGTTGTGAATATGGTGAGGAATCACTTATTTTTTCCAGCTCTTTTTTTTTACACCAGGGAGCTCTCAAATGTGCCTTCGTCTTTGTAATATGGTGCGGCCCTATCATCCCTCTTTCTGTACCTGTCGACATATTCTGTTTCTCCTCTCCTATGGCACTAATGCGAAAAACATCAAGGTCATCAAATGCGCCTGAGTTTCCATTCCTGTTTAATCTTCCCCATAGATCTAAATGCAGATGTCACTTTAGCCATTGTTACTAAAACGCCAGCCACTTGAGCTTTGTGACTGAAGCTCCTGCCATCTGCACCCTAACCCTCTTTCCAAGTCACGTATACCTTTTCTTCCTGCCATCTTAGCATAAAAATCAGAATCAAACTGGACCTGCTCTGCATTTATATAGATGCCAATGACGCTCATTTGATGTTAACTGTTTAACTGTATCATCCGCTGACTGAAAGCATCTGCATTTGTTGTGTTCCTCCATTCATTTATTCAGGCTTTTCCTGTAATTTGTCACAGTCCACATATACGTTGTCTCTTGTAGGTGAGAATAAAAAGCCTCAGACACTGACTCACAGGCGGTCAAGCCGTCACATCACAATCTAACACCATCCTTACGCATGTGAGGTTTATGTCCGATGTGCAAATGAGAAACAGATGATTCAATTCTTTGGTGTGTTATGCATTCTTTTTAATTATTTTTTTTAAAGCATATGTGCACACTGTGATAACTTTTATTCTCTGCATTTTTTACAGCTAGTAATGTAAATTTAGGTTTACCAGCGTTGATCCTGTGTGTATGTGGGTTCTTATCTTCACATGCAGATATACTGAAACAATGCCTGAATGCTCCAAAAAAGCTCCATATGGGTTGTGGTCTTTATCTCTCCCACCAAATGGGACGCGTATACATCCATCCACCCACACACACACACACACACAGGCGGCATCCAATACAGAGAAGTTCGGCCTGCATCAGAGGGGACAGTTCACCTTAATTAAGATTATTATGCTCAAAGGATCAGTTCCATTTGGGTGTATTGAACCTGAGGTGCTTCATTAGCCACTGGGTGGTAAATGGACTATAAATAGAAATGCAGTTCTGCAAAATAAATGCACACTGGCGGATATTTTTAAGGTTCAGGCTCACAAGGAATGACTTGGTAGGACTGTAGGACACCTCAGCCTCTCTCTCTCTCTCTCTCTCTCTCTCCCTCCCTCTCTCCCTCTGTAAAGGAGCAGTCCGGCGGTCCTTTCCTTCGCCCACCCTCCTCTCAAGATTTTGAGCCGTGACGTATTTGCTAACGGGGACGCGCGAGTTTTCACACAGGTGCTCCATCTGCTTGCCAGTGCGACTATTTGGAGGAGATAAACTGCGCCTCGCTCCTGAGCCGCTGCAGCCGTTTTCTTTCCGTTAACATCCTCACTTGTGAACACCTTTCCTGCCGCTCAGCCACCCCCTCTGCCACCGGGAGGCAAATAGCAGAAGTTTTGCCCTCCACCGTCACTTTTGACCTGCGAGTTTGTGAATACATTTGGAAGTTTTTGGACACGTTTTCCAACGCAAAACGTGAAATTAAGTCGACAAGAGAAGACTTGTGGGAAGAAAAAAAGAAAGAAAAAGAAAAAAAAGATGCTGGATCGTTGTAACCAAACTGTTCAGTCACTGCTCTTTGGATGCCTGGCTTGTCTTGTGGTGACCTCTGTTGTAAATGCAGATGGTAAGTAAACCTTTTAAGAAGAAAATGAAAGACACTACGTAGGTATCTAAACCATAGACTTAATTATAAAGTTATTCCAAAACAGAATTATAAGCTTTTACTCACTCTGAGTTGGTGCTGCCCAAAACTGTTCCAGAGCGCACTGGTGGATCCGTGCGCAAACATTTGGCACCTGCCTTGTTATCTGTACGTTTAACGACGTGTATTTCCCTCTCAGCCTAAAGTTTTCTTTCTTTAACGTAAATATTTCATCGCACTAAGAGAAATGTAACATATTAATGTAAGTAGATGTGAAAAACACAGCACTTTTACATCCAACAAATCTGTGCGTAAAGATTATGGAAGCTGTTGCGCGCAGTCAAGCTGTCTCAGCTTTATCCAGATATTTAGAACATTGAACTCTTAAGAGTGTTTTCCGAACTGCTAATGATGTGGCAGGGGTGTAATGAAATCACAACTGTTGTCAATTAACCATCACAGGAGGTGGACAAAGCAGATGCTCACACACATTAAAGTTGACATCTGAGCTCTCTAACAGAGACTCACATGCAAGTGTGATTCTTAATGATCCTTGATGCAAACACATGTTACATGGCACATTAGCACTATTATATTTTGTAATTTATTTGCAACTTGCATTTTATGTGATACTGAATGGATACCTTAATTAGGACAGATACAGTAATTGTTCATTTACATGTGTATTCTAATAAAATGACGTGTCTGTATTATGATAAACACGATAAGGCTATCAGACTTTTGTATGAATATGCACCCAGTGTTGCAGAGAACTTACTTAATCAATTAGATTTTCAGCAGCTATTCAGTTGGATGCCCAAAAAATGTTGATTAAATAACTTAAAGAACAAATGTAATCTGTTAAAACAGTGTCGCTCTTTTGGGCCTCTGTGCTCAAATAATCTGTCTTTTTTGACCAACTGCATCTGTCCTTTTTCCTCACGAACAACATAAAACACATTTATTTGTCTGATTTTATTCACAAGTCTCATTCTTACAGATCATGCCATTATCCACAAGCACACAGGTTCAGTTTATACAGCAGGCAATACAACAGATTTTTGAGTTTTTGCAATATAAGAGGTTATTTATATTTCTCAGGTCGAGTTTTTGTGTTGGACCTGAGGAACTCCTCTGGCCTGCAGGGCTTCAGAGATGCTGAGCAAGCTTGCGCCTCACAACATGCCCGCTTGGCATCAGCAGAGGAGCTCCGTCACGCCGTGGTGGAGTGCTTCTTCTCCCCGTGCACCCGTGGGTGGCTCTATGGAGGGACAGTAGGGTGAGTAAAGGAAGCGTTTGTCCTCATTGTTTGAAGGTGACATGTAGGGAGACTTAAGATTTCCACAAAGGTCAGAGGTCACGTCAGTGTGTGCGCTTCTGTGTGTGTGCGTGACGGAGGTCGCGAGGGTGGATGAAAGGAAGTAAAGAGAGCGGCGGCGGTTACAGAGCGAGAGGGAAGATAGAAGAGTGACACATTTCAGGGGGGAAAGAGAACAAGCAGAGAGGAAGAGAGGGAGAAAGACTCCTCTGTTTCTTCCTGGAGGAGGAGGGAATTCTGAGCCGGGGTGTCATGTCGACAACTGCCTCCATTCACACCTCTCATCTCCACGGCAACATGACACACAGCTTTCAGCACCCAGAGACAGAAACAGACACACAGACGGGGTTGATTTGGGCCTGGAGGAAGACAGGTACACTGTTGGCTTAAAGGGAGATGATTGACAGCTGTTCTTTTTGATGGTAATTGCAGAGCAGACACTAGAATTACTGCAGTTTTGGTTTATGTGGTTCAAATGTAAGGTATCACGCAAACATACTGATGTTCAAGGAGGTGAAAGTGTAAAGTGATGGCAGGTTAACATTTGTTAATGTGGTCGTACATGAGTGTGGTGATGGCCTGAATGAAAAATTAAGGGATCATTGTAGTTGGTACATTTTGTTCTGAGGGAGACGTGAGTATCTGTGAAGTTTATTTTAGGAATATACTCAGCAGTTGTTAGACCAAACACAGGCTACAAGTGCCTGTTAAGTGTGTTTAGTGTGTTTAAAAGGCCTAATAAAATACTGTGAGCAGAGAAACTTCACGTACATTACATAACCTTCCAACCAACCTTCATATATGTGCCATGGAAAAAATTCTCTTCCTCAGCTATTGTTCAGAGAAACTGTTATGAAACAGAACCTGATTCAGAATGGCAGCTGCCCTAAAATATGATCTGGTGACAAAAAATACCACCTTTTTTTCCCCCTCGCTGTCTGTCTCTACACTACGTGCTCTCTACATGTTGCTCAGCGGACATCATCAGCTTTCACACTGGCTTACCATGTTTCACAGTGTATCATCCAGCTACAGCTCCACACCTCGCCCCTCTCCATTTCTGATGACTCAGTGGAGCCATGACAGTAATTGTGCTCAACTGAACCGACGTGGAATTTCACATATATTCTGGTCGAATTCATCATTCATGTTTTTAGACGTGCATATAGTTGTTGGATTTAAACAAACCTGTTTCATAAAAATGCGGCCAATTCTGAGCTCATGCAACACGTGATAGAGGAAAAACACAAGAATCATCTTATATAATATGAAACAGCAGGCATTCAGTAGCAGTAGCTGATGCTGGACTGATCATTTATTTGTGAGTATAAACATTATGATTTATGGTTACATTCAGCAAACTGTATGAGGGAAATATGATTTATGGCCAACATGGTCTCTCTTATTCAACTTGTCCTCATAGCCTCTGATTTCATCCTTCATGACTCTTCTTTCGGTCGGATAAAGAAATACATGGACACACATCATGACACAATAACATCACGAACATGTGAGGTGTAAGGTGTCTTTTTTTAAATCGTCATTCTATCCTTGATTCTTTTTTCTGTTTGATTATGTTTCCCACAACACTTACTCCCACTTACTTCCCCCATAGGCCATGCCATCTTCATCTTCATCCTTATCCTCATCCCACCTTCTGACACTCACAAGCATTGACTGTATAAAAGAAGTGGATGCAGTTAATATGATGCCACTCATTGGTTTGTACGCTACTATTTTAAGCCCTTGAGTTTGACATTTTGGCCACCATTCTTGCAGTCAGAAGTGATGAGTGAGAGGATGGATTTCAGGGACATAATGCAGACAAATATGGTAAACGCCTATCCTGTTTTATTGTCTATTTTACTCTAAATGGGACCATAATTTACAAACTGAACATCCTCCCGTATTGAAGAAGACTTGAAACTAGCAACTGAGGCCATCAACCTGTTAGCAAAATGTCTATTGTGGTAATGAATTAAGTGAGAATTTGGTTAATTTTCTCATTGACTTCTATGAAATCGGACCAGAAGAGTCGCCCCCTGCTGGTCATTAGAAAGAACACAGGTTTAGGTCACTTTTGGTTTCCCTGTTTTCCCTACAACCACTTCTTTAATACAGTCATTGATGACAAGTGAACAGAAAATGTCAGAAAATTTACAGACCTAAAGCTCAGTATAGAGGAGTCAAGTGAAGAGAAAGAAAACGCTCCATCCAGATCACCTTCAGTCACATTTTGGTTCCTTAGAATAACAATTGCGCCCCCTAATTATTTCTATCTCTAATGTGAACTGTGCTGTTTTTCCAGAAGGACGTGCTCTGTCGTCAGCATTAGCTAGCTTCTAGGTCTGTTGCATAATAACAAGTGCATCTCAGGTTGACCCTCCTACCTTAACATGTTCCTCTTACCTGTCAGTCATACATCTGCTGCCACGGTAACCAAACACAACAATACCAGTGGACTGAATTAACACTCAGTTTCATACACACACTAACACAGACATACTTTTTTTGGTTTTCCTTGTAATCGTTCTGTCGTGTAAGGCTACGGCTTTGAGAAATGGGTCCACTTTCAGGGGGAAATGCTTCCCAGAGGTCAATCGTTTTCCTTCTTTCTCATCCGTCACACAGATACCTGCAGGGGCTACGGCTTAATGTTTAAACAGTCTTCGTGTTTTTGTCTCTCTCCGAGTGTTTTCTCGGTGATTTTCTGTTGTGTTCCAAATTTCTCTCCCACCTCTCTCTCTCAGACTTTTGTCCTTATAAGCTGAAGTTAGCGTGGCACAAGCATGCAGTATGACTCACACTGCTCTCTTCTCACAGTCTCTCACTGCGCTGCCAGTCAAATTCTTTCCAATTACTGATGCTTTGACTAGTTCGGTTACTCACACACCTACACAAATGCGCGCTCCTAAGTTTGGCTCCAGTAGCTTTTCCATTCGAGTAACAAGATGACCTATCAAAAAAATGCTATTAATGAAAAGCGTAGTGTGACGGACTTCTCATGATATTTGTTACGTCAGTCAGACTTTGCTATGAATTTTCTAACACCGGGTTGATCGGTGCTGGGAGTCGCTTTGGGAACATGGCCTGGGAGTCAAGCTTATCTGCTGTTTTTGGATGACAAATGGATTAACAATGCAATAATATGGCACCGAAAATAGACTGTTTACTCAGCACTTTTTAGTCTCAGTGGCTTGTAGGCGTCGTGCACTTTCCGCATTACTCGGTCCCTGTGGAATACGTATTATATTGAGTCGGTGATGTTATGATTGCTCTATAAGAAGTGGGCTGCAACTGAAGGCTCCTGCTATGGGAACATCCATCCCGAATGTGCCATGGTGTGATAATATTGTGTCACTCGCTACAGCTGCTGATACTGCAGCATGTCTGAGACATGATGTGTGTTCCTGCACCCTCATGTCAGGCTGGAATAATATTTGACTAGGCAGCAAACCAGGCGGCGACCGAGAAAGCGCTGTGCTGTGTTACTGTACGCATCGTCTGTGTGCAGCCAAGTTTCCCATACATAAAGCAGAGCAGCAGCTTTACATTTCATGTCACTCGGAGGAAACATTAAATTACCCATATTACTCCCACTCACTTCACTTTGATCAGCCATGGAAGAAATATTCAGATCCTCTGCTTATGCATTCACTTCTAAAACTTCCATTACAAGTAAAAGACCTGCATTCATGATCTAACTTCACCAGATGTGGTACTAAGAAACTGCTGATATTTACTGTGACTTCTGGAGCCGTTGTATGATTTTTTAGTCCAGTGGTTCCCAACGTGTGGGTCAGGCCCCGTTCAAAGGGTCACGAGATAAATGTGAGAGGTCTTGGGGTGATTAATGACACAGGGAAGAAGAAAAAAGTAAGTTCTGCTTCACAAATCTATACTTTTTTTGTGAAATAATCGCTAATTTGACTTCAGTATGCCTTACAAAAGTTATTTAAATGAAAGCATCAGAGAAGTTTAGAGGAATCAGTGGCTCTCGAGTGGCTTTCAGATTCTCAGTCCTCTTCTTATGAGCAGAGTCGCACAATGAGGAAATTCCTTTGAACTTGGCACAAATTTAAAGTTGGACTCGAGAATGGTTTAAATAGAATTAATATATGACCACGCACAACATATTTGCAGCAATACCTCAGTAATCCATCAATTAATCATGACAACATATCACACATATGTCTGATGAGGTGACATTTTATACGCAAAAGGTCAAAGGTCACCCGCACTGTCAGACCATAAGTTCTTAAAAAACTGGCTGTCATTCATTTCTAGAAATCAAATTCTGAACTGGTTACACTGATCCCTGGGTGTGCTCACCTTGAAACTGTGTGGATTGTTTATATTTTCTGTGTTGATGAAGTTTGTGACGCACCCACATTTTAGAGTTGTAGCTTCTTTGGAGCAACATTCGTATTTGAAGCGTCTCCTACTGTAATAGCTTTGACTCTTCTGTCGGAGTCGGCTAAACATGTGAACAAATATAAGGACTGTGAGGTAGAATAATATTAAAACTGCTATATGCTCAGTTCTTGACTAAATGTATCTGGTTATTTTCCACCAGTGGGTGTAATGAAGCACAAGATATGTGTCTAACGGAGTCTCTTTCTGTGTATGTGTGAGTTCGTGTGCGAGAGACTGTGTGTGAAAAGTAAACACAGCGGGTTTAATTTTCACCACCCTCAATCCTAAAATCCCTCTGGGTTTCTGAAATGCTTCGCTGTAGGCCACTCAGCCTCATATCACCTTGTAATTAATGAGTGTGTTTGTGTGTAATTTGACTTCATATGTGGATAATAGACATTCTTACCGTGCATATGTGTGTCTATCTATTTTTAGGACCACGGTGTGTAACATTGTGGGCAGCGCACTGAAAGCTGTGGATGTGAGGATAGAGAATGCTACAGACGACACAACGCACCTGGACGCCTTCTGTGTCAAAGACAAAGGTTTGTAGAAACACAAATACACATGTATAGACACATTATAAGGAGGCTGTGATCAGGATATGAATGGAAGAGCTTTGTGTGTGCAGCTTGTGTGTATGTGTCCTTCCTGAGATATTTACTGAGGCGTAAAAGAGGCTGCGTTCCTGCACTTTTTCCATCTATAGCTCAGCTTTCATCACTCTTCATCCTACTCATGTTGGCGTGCCATTTTTTACTCATATCTGTCTCTAAATATGAATCCATCAATCCTCTCCTGCATGTGTGTGTGTGTGTGATACCGCTCGGTTCACGAATGTACCCAGACGCAGCAGAAACTGAATTCCACTGGCACTGACAGAAGAGGTGGGCAAGTCAGTGGTTGGTTTTGGATCAGATTAGTATCGAACGCCACCTCCAAGAGGTCTCTAGTCTTTCCTCATAAACAGGAGAGCTACAGTTCCGTGGCTGTTAATATACCACACACCCCGAGGTTGGAACAAACACTCGACTGTGGGAAAAAACATGAGCGGTACGGATCCACGTGGCGCAGTAAAAAGCAACGACGCAGCTTCACAGTCGGGGTTAAGGTTGCGGCTGCAGCTGTTGGTCAAACTTTTGTTTATATCAGGAGGTTTGGAAGAACTGGGTGCTGTGGTTACCCCATCATCAAGGCAACACACCCACATACAGTTTGACTAAATTCATTAAAAAAGACAAATTTTAGTACAAACAAACAAAGAAGTGGGGCTGATTTGTCAGTTTTGTTGGTGAAAAGTTGTTTTAAGTGATCATTCCAGGGATTTTTTATTTTTTTTGCTGCTGTTTGACTAATATTTCAGACAACAGACATTTAAAGACTTGCCATAGTTTGTCTTTTAACTGTCATGCAATGGTTCAGATGAAGATCCAAGTGCAGACACCACAGATAGGCAGGTTGAGGCAAAAAAACATAATCAAGATAAAGCAGGGTTAAAGGCAGGGCAGCAACCAGAAGAAAAATCAAAACTATAAATCCATGTAAATAACTTAAGTATTTTATCCAGGGAAACAGAAAGCAAAAACAAAAAATGACAAACTGGTTTAAGAAAAGGGAAAGACAACCACTATTTATACACTGAGGAGTAAATGGAGAGACAAGAAACAGGTGACTCGTGAGACACAGATGAAACCGATCAATGCAATCAACAGAGGAGGGAAAACAGACAAAGGAAGGAAGTAACTCAATAAGAGACACACAAGGACTGTAAATTACAAAATAAAACAGGAAATTGGTGAAACAAAAACTGTAATTTTTTAACCTTATAGTTGTCATTATATAAAAAATATAAAAATCAGTATATAAATTGGGCTGTAATCAATTACTGTACACATGGAATATTCATTTATTTTGACAAAACAGTCATTCAGCAGCTCAACTGCATTACAAGATTTTATTTTGCTATTAGAAATTGATTTTTATTTCTATTTAAGCGCTTTAAAGATAATAAACAACAATGCATTGTACTTTGAGCAAAATAACAATACTTTATGAATTGGCTATAATGCAAAAAAGTGCAGATTCATATGGCGGCGTTGGAAGCTTTGACATCCACCACTGCAGATTCAGCTTAAACGTTAAGGTATGACACACCATTAAATGCATAGAAGGAATTCAGTGCATTAAAACATTTTTTAAAAGGCAGCTGGTGGTATCCTAAAGGAAGGCAATGTCGTAGATTGACTTAAGTAATCAAAAGTACCTTAAATTTATCCATTATTTACCACAGTGAAGCTAGAAATTTAGTCGTTTTATTTAAAATATTAGACATTCATTCTAGAAAGTGGCATTCATTACGATTTAAAGAAAAACAAAAACAAAACACCATATAGAGTAAACACAAGCCTGAAAACTTCACTTAAAATAAATTGCGCACCATTTTTAATTACATCAGCATGTTGTTATTTGTCATAAACCATTTTTTAAGAAAAGGCCAGAGTCAAGAAAGTATAAGCTTTAATTCATATTTTTTGTTTTTTTAAGTGGTCATGTTCTTTGACATTACATCCCCATTTCCCATTAATTCTGTCATTCTCATGCTGTAAAGCTGGTAAACAATGAGTCAGGTTTTATTGACCACTCTTAGCAGTATTGAAGCGTGATGCATCATCTTTAACTAACAGTTTCACCTCTTTTTTGATCGCATGCATCTCTGTGTTTGTCGTTGACAGACGTGCCGTGTGGAGACCCTCCATCCTTCCCTAACGCACGTCTGCAGGGGCACTCTGGGTTCGAGATGGGCGACGAGCTGCTGTACTCGTGTGTTCCAGGTTATGTGATGCCCAGTGGACAAGCTGCCTTCAGCCTGCTGTGCGACAGCTGTGGGGAGTGGTATGGACTGGTGCAGATTTGTGTCAAGGGTAAGAAGGCGTTTAAACTGTTTATGTAGGGCAGAAATAGAAAAAGGCAGAAAGAGACAGATCTGTCTTTTGCTCGTCCACTTCAAAAGCTTTGACCTGGACAGGAGACCAGACCGAGGTCAACCTCCTCACTTCCTTGCTTGTTAGATGCCAGCGTTGTTAGGTGATTGATTCCTGACTTTTGGAAAACAGACTCTTGTTTGTGAGTTGGGATGAAAATGGCTGCGATGACACCACAGTGTGACATGCCATAGTGTGGCCCAGTTCGTAGAGTAGAAAGAGTCTATGAAGGTAAAATGCCAGGCCTGTGTGGATGGCTAACAGAGTCTTTGTCATGTTTGTGCTCTAAAAAGTTTCCTGATCCATCCCAAGATACATCTCAGTAGATGATTTAAGGAGATAACGAAGGACAAAAAAAAATCCTGCAAAATTGCTTTTATGTTTCTACCTACTTTTTAAATTTTCATTGAGCTCCTTTCATTTAATCAAGCATCTAAAAATCCATCAGCCTCAAACAAAAAGGTCACAATTCCAGTCATTCATTCAAACTTTATTTAAACTTGGAGCACATTTGGGTGCAGAGGACACATACCATGAATCTAAGTAAGAAAATAAAAGATGTAGGCACACAGATACGGAACTTGGATGGCAATAACAATAAAAATATTAAAAGGCACATTTTCTAAAATTATAAAATCAATATTTAGAGCTTTTGAGATTTAAAAACAAATGCACTGGCTAAACAAGAGCTGGAAGTAAAATAAGATTAAATTAAAAACCTGAATTGCCCTAAGGATAAAAATGAGTCAAACTCCAGATTGTTCTGCAGGTTATTCCAGGTCGCAGCTGCACAGCGAGTAAAACTGGGTTTTCCAAGCTCAGTAAAAACAGATGGCACCTGCAGCATAATCCAGTCATTTTAGTGCGTTCAGTAGAGGCTCACATTAAAAGCCAGCAATAAAGTACTGTAAGGAGGTAACAAACCAGTAAAAGTCTTATAAATAAATAAACCCCAGTTTCTTTCACACCTGACAGCGAGTGAGAGCCTGGCTGTGTGCCTCAGCATACAGTGATGAGTATTATAATTATCACCAGCTACAAATCCTAATAGAGAGTCAAGTGCTCAGGGGCTTAAGAGTCGCCGCTGATGCAGGCACGTATAAAAGGTCACCATAATTAATCCTGTACTGCTAAAAAAGTTGCCTCTGCAGTGCAGTGGGAAACATGATTTGTTCCTTTGAAAGAAAACATATTTTTTTGTAGTTGTAGTTACAGTGTGGAAATGTGATCTTTAAAAGTCAACTTCTGTATTTGTGCACCTTGACTCTTTCAGTGTTTGTACCTCTCATAAAAGAGATGACCAGATTGTCACAAAGCAATACTTCAGGCTCTGTTAAAGACCATGGGTTTATATTTCTCTGAATTAAGAATTCATTTATGCAACATATAGCCCAGCAAAGCAGTACGGAAGGGCTTTGACAGCAGAATGTTGTGTTCAAACAACAGCACAAAACCGTATCGTCGGCAAAAAGATGTACATAATGGGCAGATACAGAGGAAACCATGTCATCTATATAAAGTGAACAAAACAGGCCACAGAATTGAGCCTTGTGGGGCACCTTTTAAAACATTTACAAAACTAAACATTCCTAATAGCCACATGTTGTTGTCTGTCCATGTGGTAAGAATCAGAAACAATTTTCTTAAAAAAAAAAAAAAAAAAATCTGTCCATGTGGTAAGAATCAGAAACAATTTTCTTAAAAAAAAAAACCCACACAATTAACCGGTAAATAGACTGATTGTAAAGCACCATAACCACATTTTTAACAAATTTGATCAGGTATCACTTTGTCCATTACATACACTGCTACAGCCAGCAGCAGATTAGCTTAACTTAGTATAAAGACTTCAAAGAGGGAAATCAGCTAGTCCAGCTTTGTTCAAGGTCAAACAAAATCCACCCAGCAGCCCTTCTAAAGCTCACTAGCAATTAATACATTATCTTGTTTGTTTAGTTGGTACAGAAACTGAAGTTTTACGTGGAATTTATATGTGGAACTATTTCTTAGCTGAATGCAGTGACCTCCTGTAGGCTTTTTTTTTTTTTTTTTTTATTGTGAGGTTGCCAGGCAACCAGAAGACCTTGAGTCTTTTGGAGCAAAAACTATGCTAAGCTAAGCTAACCGACTGCTGACTGTGGTTTCATATTGAATGGACAGAGTGGTGTTAATCAACATATCTAACTCTTAGCGACATGACATCATAAAATTTTAAAAAAACATCAAATTTTTACTAAATTTAAGGGGGCATGACCCAAAACTGCATGGGAACCATTGCCTACTTACTTCCAAATTCAAAAATGCAAAGACTTGATGTAGCCTTGTGAGTTGATAAAGTACTATCTATGCATCATGTTTCCTCTTTCTGCAGATGAGACTGAAAGTCACGTAGACTACGAGGACAAGTTCACGGATTCCTATGGGGAGGCCGAGCACCACAACGTGAGACCAGAGGAGGCTCATGGTGAGACGTATGAGGAGGTGCATGGAGCTGCACATCCAGATGGGAAGACGAGTCACGTGCAGCAAGAGACAAGTTTCAGTGTCAAAGTCGAGGAGGAGCACCAAGACCAGCATGGAGAGCCTGAAGTGGGAGGAAAGGTGACTGAGCATGGTGAAAAAGAGGCTGTAGAGAAAGGAGAAAAAAGTGAGGAACGGGCTGTCGAGGACTTCACAGGTCATCCTCGGTGGGAGCAGGAGAGGAGGGAAGTGGTCCGGACTGATGCAGCTGCAGCCACAGAGGCACCCGTCTCTCTTCTCTCCCAAAAACACCTGTTCTGGTTCCCCTCCGAGGCTTTCCAGGAGGAGGAACCTCTTGTCTCCACCAACCCGGCCACACAGACAACACAGAGAGCCTCAGGCGCTCAATCAGAGGAGAGCAAAGAGCATGAGAGCCAAGAAAGACCTCACCACCAACGTCCTGTTGATGCTGACGATCATCATCACGATCGCGACAGCTATGATGGTCCTGATGATAACGATGATCATGATGACAGCCGCCACGATGACCAGGACGTCCATGAAGACAGCCACTATGATGATCACTATGACAGTCACCAGGACGAAGACCATGAGGAGTCTGTGAAGCATCCAGCTCAGCATGATGATCTGGACAGTAGGGAACACCACGACAAACACGATGATCACGATGATCACAATGATCACGATGATCACGATGATCACGATGATCACGATGACCACTACGACATGGGCGAACACGAAGAAGACCGTGATCGTGTTCGCTATGGCAGTCAGGAGTATGATGATCGAGATGACACTTATGACGATCACGATGACCATGGCGACGATGATGGAGAACATCCAGACGTTTCTGAGGAACATCCAGACCATGACGACCACGATGACGGTGAGGAACATTACGACCATGAAGACGACCATTACTCTGACCATGACGATCACGATCACGATGATCATGATCACAAAGAAGATGACAGCTATGACGACCACGACAGCCACGAAGACGATGATGGTCGTCAGCACTTGATCGTTTCTATAGCAACTGATGAACGTCAGAACGCCTCCCACAGAGGAGCGGGGGTAAAGGCCACCACAGATGAGACCTGGCTGGACGGCTACCCAGTTGTTCCAGCAGAAACAGAAAACGGTGACTCCACGGAGGGGAGACCAGAGGGTAAAGAAAGGGGGAGTGTTACCAAGACAACAGACAGACCCAATGAGGTGGAAATTCGTCGGCCTGTTTCTTACACCAGCTTACCAGAGGAGCACGAATCTCCCACCACTGTGCCTGAATTGGATCAAGGGGTGGTGGAGGAGGTATGGCCCAGCTTCATCAGGACCCCTGCTCCCTCCGCTGACCATTTAGATCCTTCGGGCTCCCCCTCATACTCTGACACCCTGGACTACGACACACAACAGGCAGCTCCCACCCACTCCTGGCTGGGCGACCTCACCGAACACCCCTTCCTCGATCACGGCCCAGCTCCTCCGGTGCACGACGACAACGTCTTCACCGGATCGATGGAGGAGCACAACCTGCCCGGTGAGACCGGTGAGAGGGGCGATGTGGAGGGGGAGATGGGGGAGACGATCTGTGTGGGTGAGAACTGCCCTCCTCGTCCTCCAAGCTCCTCCAGTCGAGGTCCAACGGTGGCGGCCATAATCGTGGCGGTGTGCGCAGTCGCCACGGCGGTCATCGTCGGGGTGTGGTGTTACCGACGGCAGCAGCAGAAGAGTTCGGTATATGAGATGAATGGGAAGGGCCAAAGTCAGAGCAGACAGGGCCAACAGATAGAGATGCAGCAGAAGGTGTAGGAGCCACAGATGAGGAGAGGGACACTGACGGGAGCTGATGGCAAGGATGGGAAGATTCAGATGAATTTTGAAGGAAAGCACAGCTCCTCATCCTGTTAGAAACTACTGCATATTTGAAGATTTTGAATAGGTATAAACAGATAACTTGCTGCAGCTCTGCCTTCATAGCAAAACTTTGCCGAACCAGCAGAAAATTTTAGTAAGAAACTTGGGCGAAACAAGAGGGTAAGAGTTATCGATTCCAAGGAAACCCATCTGTCTTTCTTATACCTATCCATTATTTTTAAAGCTCTGGCATCTAGCTGGACACCTAAAGGTGCTGTGACTGGGCTGGACTCAACTCCAGGAACTGAAAAAGGAGATTATAAATAAATGACCATGTAGGAAAACCACACAAACACAAGGCCTGCCTGCCTGAATATACGAACTGAGATTTCAACCTCCAAAGCTCTTGGACATTGTGGTAAAGATTCTCTGTGTTACCTTTTGTTGATTTTATTGATTGCTCTTTTAATTTTTGATATGTACTGCTCTGGATTTATCATTCATCTTTTCTGTTCTTTTTTTTTTATGTTGATAAAAACTGTATTTCACTTGTTACTCGACCACAAGAGTGTTGAAGTTCAGAACAATTCAAACCAATCGCAGCAGATTCGGGCAGCTTGTCCCAAAAGAACCGTCTGGTGTCTGTCAGACCGGAAAGAACGGAGACAAAAAGGTGAATACGGTCAGGTCAGATGAAGAGAAGCGAGAAGGGAAGGAAAAAGAGGTGCAGTATGATGGGAAGAGTATTTTTAAGACTGTTGGTTTTGACAGTCGGCTGGTGAGACGTATAGAGGCTTCCAGACTGCAGACTCAGCTCCGTGTATGTGTGTGATAGCGTGTGTGTGTGTGTGCGTCTCAGCTCGCCGGTCATCGTGTTTGAAGTTTCCGACTGAGGAACCGGAGTGGATGCTGACGGCATTCAAACCAAGCAGAGACTAAACATTGAGGTGCTACCATGGCAACAGAGAATCACAACCCTAATTGGTTTGAACTTAAATTGATGTTCTGAATGCTAAGAGTGTCGTCGTCTCCCCCCTATTAAAGTTCAATAAAGTAAATGTATTTAGAAAAAATCTAAACTGGGGCTGAAGCACAAGGCCCAAAATATACTGTATATACGTAAAAGATAAATTTAATATTTTTAATACATCAATTGGTGATGTTTCCTCATTTGTGTCCCGGTTATTCACAACATGACGAGGGTCTTCTTGACTGGGATTATTTGGCCGTTTATTGTCTGATTAGACTTAATTGGTTGCTAATTTCGAACAATGTATTTATCTTTTAAAAAAATCTGTCATGAACAAATGAGGCTGATTAAAATTGATAGGTTTTGCCCTTTTCATTTGGTTTATTTTCCAGCCTAAATAAAAAAAAACAAAGGTATCTGTAGTGTGTTGTAGCTCTGTATACTTTCATGATATTCTCTCCATATTGTGTCAACTATTTGAAATATTTAAAATAGAAATATATACAAAAGAGTGTAAATAAATTCAAAATAGCCATAAGAGTGTTTACATTTCAGTGTCAGAGTGTTCTTCTCTTGATAAAAAAAAAAAAAAAGATCTGTAGCACAATAACTTAAATAGAAAGTGCTTTAATTACAATTATTGTGAATGATGATGAGTAGATGAGGCATTTTACGGTGTCATCAGTTTTTTCTTATATTCAAGTCAACATCCAGCTGATTTCTGAGAAGCATTTTAATAGTTATTTTTCATTTGCAAGTATTTCATCAAACGTTTTCATTTCTGAATTGATGCTAATACGGTGAGAACCTGAGGAATGAGGTGCCTGTTGTCTGTTTGTTTCTGTAAATAGGAACCTATTAACTTGCTGTACATACTGTAGCATCACTGGTGTGTGGGACATACATTTTAGATTTACTGTACGTTTTCTTCTTCGCCAAATCCTTCAAACACGGTCGGCATTAGACACAGGTCTTACACAGGGTACGCTCATCTTACTTCGCCTGCTGTTTAAACACAAACTCTGTATTTGTAGTTGTGTGAATAAAAACCACACTGTAGATCATTGAGCCTCTCTGGACTCCTAATAATAACCATGATTATTAAAATACTGACACTCGTTTAGGGTTTTAATAGGAAAAGCTATTAAAACTAACTTGCTCACTGTCATTCACAAGCTGCAAAGATTCTTCCTTTTTCTTTTTCATCTCAAACAGCCTGATGTGTTGGATGTCAGGATGAAATGTGTACTGTATGTGTGTTCTCTGAGTCACAATAAACTTCTAAACATGTGGTTTTACCTCTATTTTTTTGTGTATGTTTGTTTTGTCAGTGTCAAACAGACACACTGACTCATGCTACAGATCTCAGATGCTCCATTGTTTACCAGTCATTGTGTAAGCGTCTGACTAATCGCACCTTCAGGTGTGACTTTGACCTGCGACCTTGACTCCCGACAATCAGCCTTTCATCGAAACATTTAACAAAAAAAGCCCCGTTTATCAGCCGCTGCCTTTCGCTTCTCTGACCTAAATGTTTAAAAAAAGAAGACTGAGCTGAGAGTTGAAGTGCGCTCGAGGGAGAAGTAATAAAGGAGACAGGTAAATAGAGGCAGGAGAGGAAGGAGGACGGAGAGACACAGAGACACTCAGTAATACAGAGGGAATGTTCCCCGGTGGGTTTTTAACATCACTGTGTGACAAACTGCACAGAGACTCAATGTTCAAACATTATTAAACAACTCAGTGTTTTCTCTGCTCGGCTCTGCGCTCCATTCTCCTCTCCTCTTTTCATTTTTTTTAATATTGGGGCTCCAGTCAAAAATCAATGGACTGAAACAGAGTATTAGCTGATTAATTAATCCTTTAAGTCATTTTCAAGAAGCGCAGATACTAAAAATAGCAGTTGCAGGCTCAGATTTGCGATGGTTGACGGTTATATTTGACTATTTTCTGACTTTTTATGTACCTAACAATGAGTATATAAGCTGAAAAACAATATGATTCAAACATAGCTGCAGCTCAAGGCTGCAGGGATGAAACCAGCAGCTGATACTTTTTTGTAAAATCTTTTTATTGTCAAAAAAACCCCTCCAAAAGACAACATTGATGATTCACAGTGGAGAAATGAATTCATTAAAACGGTGAGTACAATTACGTCTGCCTCTGTTATGACTGTCTTTAAAACATTTCATCGCTGTGCTGTAAGTCCATACAACTGAACTGGATATTTAGTGCACAAAAAACTTTAAAATCTTCAGGAGCTGCAGGTTAAAAAAAATAAAAACCTCAGTGATCAATCAGAGACTCTTAAACTTCAGGAGTGTTTTGTAGTTTGTGTTTGTTCTTTTTTTTTTCTTTCAGTGTTTCGGCAGAGTTTCCAACGTGGGCTATTCATCCTCGTCCAGGAACTCATCTATAAACTCCACCACCTCCCCCTGTGGACACAAACATGACAAAAAGAATGAACCAGAGACAACTCAGGAGGGTCGCTTTTGTTTCAAAGTGGATTACCATAAATCCCTCCACTCACAGCCCTATGTGTGATTTCTCATATCACGCATTACTAAAGAGATTACAGTCAAGAACTGAATGGTATTTACCACATACAGCATGTAATCCTGGCTTATGCTAGGTTGCCCTGATGGCCACAGTCCTTGTGCTGCATCACAATAACTTCAAGAAATGCTGTGTCATACTGCCACCCCATGGCTGCCTGGGGTTTTGCAGCCTGATAAACACAGGGCACATTGTACTGCAGGGCGTCATGTGACCAGACTGAAGAATCCAGGGTTTTTCCATAAGTTCCACAAGGACAGAGCCAGTGAGAGACGCAAGCAACTCAGTAAGAACTGTAAACGATTTCATGGGAATGGTGCAAATCTATTCCTAGCAGTGTCTTATGCTCCCTTCACTTGAGCAGCGATAACCTCCCGTCTGGAATCATCCCGCCTGTGACGCACCGAACGCCCAAAAATATGCAAACGCAGGCACACACCTCATCATCGCTCGCCAGGCGCTGTTTGGAGAACTCCAACATCTGTAGCTGCATGGTGGTCTGATTGTAGTACCGCACTGCCTCCTGCAGCAAACACACAAACACAACAGCTCCACAATTAGGTGTTATAGGAAAGTGAGGACATGAAATCAGGAAAGAAGCTTGAGACAAAGTGCAAAATATCTCAGTGATGTGCGTTTTTAGGTACTTCCAGACAAAAGCAATGAGAACATTTGTTTTAAAGGAGTAGTTCCGCATTTTTGCTCGTGCAATTATGCTTTTATAATCCTGGAAATGGTTCAAAAATCAACACCGGCTTAACTTTTATAGCTAGAGAGACCATTTTACCTGCTTTTATTTCACCTCCTTGGGCTTACTGCAACAGCCTGAACCAAAAAAAACTATTGATCGACTTCAGAATAAACAGGCTCTGGAATGAGCTGCCCGAGGGAATCAAGTCAATGATCTCTTTTAAGTCTGAAAACATACTTTTATCAGTGAGCTTTTCCTAAATCTTATTCAATTTCCTCTGAGCTGTCTTTAATTTCTTTTAATAGCAGTTTCACCTTTTCGTACACTCTATTGGTTTTTATACATCATGTTGTGTTTTTATCTGTCTTTTAAAATGTGATGGTTTGATGACTTGTCTGTTTTATTTTGCTGACTTGTGAAGAACTTTGGAACTTGGATTTGGAATTTTTTTATTAATAAAGATTACTATTATTGGGAATACACATACTTGTATTTTTGTTGAAAGCTCTAATGTAACATTTTCTGAAATTAAATGTGGATAAATGACAAAAGCAATATAATATGTTATGTACTGACATTATCACAAATGTTTGCAACAGTGTTCAAACCTGTTCAGAATTTTAGTCAGTTTCATTTTGGTGGCCTGTCAGTTGCGAGTCAAGTCAGATGAGTGATTCAAGGACTGTCAGCAAATAAAAAACCCTACAATTCATTGTGTTTTTACAGTGTATGGTTTTGTTAAATGGTGTGATTTTAGTAGTTTTTAAAATGATGCTTCTCAGAGTGTTTCTGGGGGACTTCTATGTTGGCTTTGGAGGCTCTGTCCATCTTTTAATAAACAGTCTATGGCATCAAATTAAAAAAAAAACAAAACTCTACCTCGCAGTACCTCTATAACTCACTAAATAACACAGGTAACCTTTGCAGTGTCTTTGGTGCAGAAACCCAAGTTAAGCTATGCTAACCAGCTGCAGCTTTATATTTGGTACACTGACATCAGAGCTAATCTCTTGTGATCTTCTCATCTAACTCTGGGCAAGAAGGCAAATAACCACGTGTGTGTCAGTTTCCCTCCACGGTGCTTTTAGAGGTTAAAAAAAAAAAAAAAAAAGATCGCAAAGCAGAAAATAAAATGTTTTTCAGGGCAGGAAAGAAGACAAGCTGTATTTAGGGAACCATATTAGTAAAGACTGAATACAGGCTTTTATCAGAGTTTCCCGCCTTGCTTTGTTCGCACGCAGGTAACACAAAACTGTATGTTCTTTAGTAATGTGCATAAGATCATCAGTATCACTCACTGATCTGGGGAGGAAGTCCTCCTCCACCAGCCCCCACTGGTTTTTGTGGAACTTGTAATAGGCCACGTTGTTCTTCATGACTTCATCGCTGGGGTCGAACAGCATGTAGCTGACTGCACACGGAACTGCGTTCTTCAGGTCGTTCACTGGAAACAACAATTAACAACTTAGTTCAGGCATTTTTCTTTGGAAATGCAATAAAACGTAGACACTAAAAATAGTGCTCTAGTTGAAGCAGGCTACGAACATTTGTAATAGGCGAACTGCAGGTAGTGGTACATGGTGGCCACAAACTTCTCAACAACAAAACCTCCGACCACAGGTGTCAAGTCACTTTCACAGCCCACCTTCCTCTCCAGGACCTCAATGTAGTGATCTGTGGAGAGGAGTGAAACCAAAACTCAGACAGAAAATGCAAAAAGCCAACAAATACATTAAAAAATAAAGTCTTAAATAAAGACACAGCCAGAGCAGACTTTGAAAAATATACATGTGGTTAAAGAAAGATGGGGGGAATGAGGGATGGGACAGACATGAACCGACCAGCGATGGAGGGGTAGAAGTCTTTAAAGTCTTTGACGTCTCTTGGGCCTTCAGACGCAGCCAGACACTCGTCGTAGACCTTGAAGAAGTCCCTCAGCGCCAGCTCCATGTCTGACACCGACGTACGGAAGTTCTCTCCATTATATGCTCTCACTGCTCGCACGAACAAAGTCTGGACCCCCACATGACGGAATCACGAGAAAACACAACAATCAACACATATACTGTACAATGAGGGCAGTCCACTTTGTTAAAAAACACTTTTTTACACAAGTCGGTGATATTTTACACATTTTTTTAGCACTATGTTGACGTACTGTATACAAGGAGACAATCACATTTTTTGACAAGTTCTCAAAAGACACATTTCATGAACCCAAAACATGTTGGAAGCTAATGTTTGGAGAGTCAAGTGACAGTTGCAAATGTATGTACCATTGCAACTACTGAACAATTTGTATATTGTGCATCCTCAGGGCGTAATACTGAAGCATTCTCTCCTCAGTGTTTCCTTTCCGCAACTACTCTATTTGTACAGCATGTGATGTCAAAGATGTTGATATATTCATATTTTTATTCATAAAATAGCACCATTCATACAGACAAAAAAGTGCTTTACTCAATAAAAACAGAGTCTGAGGAACTTAGGGAACATAATCATAAATACATCTCGTAAACTTTATAATTTGCAATGTGGATCCACTTGAGGAAGTCGCATAAAAAGTGACATAAAATAGATTGAAATGCATCAATAAATAGACATATATTTGCATATTAATAGTTAGGATTTGGGCAAATGAAGTACTGTTTCTCTCAAGACCGGATTATACATAATGAGGCCAAATGTAATAAACAACAAGACATATTTCCTTTTGTAGTGCTTATGAAAGAGAATATAAAAAAAACAACCTCCTAAATTTCCTCAATTTCCACCTCCTTATTTTGCAGAGGCCATGAAGCCCATTCAAGGACGACCGACGTTCCGCAGACCAGCACTGGAAAGCTCATAACGCCAGATCAGGCTGCCAGCTACAGGCTGCTACCACAGCGGCTCACCCACAGAGCCAATAATAGGTCGGGCTGTGTGTGTGTGTGTGTGTGTGTGCGCTCTCCAAGTCATGTGGGTTTGGGTGTGACGCTCAGAGAAGATCTAAACTACAAGAGCATCCGACTGTGTTTCATGTGTGTGTTTGTACCTCGTAGGATTTGGTCTCCAGGTCTTTGAAGTGCTCCTCGGCTCCGGGCAGACTCTTGTAGTAGGCCATGTTCTTCTGCATCATCTCGTCATCCGGGTGTTTCAGCAGGAAGGTGTGAGCGGCCGACACCGCCTTGGCCAGGTTGTTAGACTGCAACAAACACACATTATAATCAGAATAATCAGAATGTTCTACAATTCTGTTTGGCAGACGTTTTAATCCAAAGCGACGTACATCTGAGAGCAGATACAACACACACAAGGATCCAATGAGAAGAAAACAATCTAGATAAGTGCCATCGAACAAATTCAGGTGCGATAGGATGTTGATGCCAACAGCAGGCTGTGTGGGAGGTAATAGGATTTTTTTTTTTTTGTCTGTTTGTTTGCTTTCAGGCTGTCAAGTGCAAAGGTGTTCAGTGAAGAGCTGAGTCTTTAGTCTTTTCTTAAAGACTGAGAGGGATTCAGCAGATTGAACAGAGTTTGGTAACTCGTTCCACCATCACAGAACCACAGAGGAGAAGAGTCTAGCTATCGCCCTGTTGTGGTGGTTGTATCAGGTGGTTTTTGTTGGTCAAGCATCGTGAGCGGGAGGGAGTGTAGATCTGAATGAGAGCGTTCAGGTAGGAGGGAACTGTTCTCGTTGTGGTTTTGTAAACAAGTGTCAAGGTTTCGAATTTGATTCGGGCAGCAACTGGGTGCCAGTGAAGCGATCTGAACAGCGGGGTGACATGCTGTTTTGGGCTGCATTCTGGATCATCTGCAGAGGTTTGACCGTGGATGCGGGGAGGCCTGAAAGTAAGGAGCTGCAGTAGTCAATGCGTGATATTATGAGAGCCTGTACCAGGAGTTGTGCTGCATGTTCAGACAGGAAAGGTCTGATCTTCCTGATGTTGTACAGGGCGAATCGATGCGACCGAGCAACAGAGGCCACATGAACCTTGAAGGTTAGAATAACTCTTGATAAATTAAAATCATGACACATTACAAGACAATACCTGCAAAAAATCATGTTAACGGTGCAACTGAGTAAAATAGCCCTAAAAAGTAAAAAAAAAAGCAGGACCAATGTATTTATTCCCTGCACTGTGCTGTGAGTGTGTGTCTGTATTATCATATTATCTTACAATAACGTGCGTTTTTTTAATGTTCACTACAGATAAGTTAAGTTTCCTCTTATTAATTTAATACCAGTGTATCCCAAGAGAAAGCCATATGATATATTGCTGTGTCAATGTTTGGTAACACTTGTACTCCAGCAGCTGATTTAGAGCCACTCATGAACGATTAGTAGCAATTCATCAATCGTTAGATGATTCCTTACTTGCCTGCTGCTCATTTACTCAGTAATTTGTTTACTTTACATCTAAGTGGCACCAATTTAAGTCGCTAATTGTGGTCAACATGAATCTCTACACTGATGTTATAGTGAGATAAGAAATAAATGTTGGTCATCAGAATGAAGACGCCTGAAGGCTCCACCTTCATCTGTTAAAACAATTATATGCAAGAATAAACACCATCGAAATGTCCGGCCATCATAGCGCTCAGGAAGGAGACGGGTTCTGTGTCCCAGAGATGGAGTGTTTCGGTGCGAAATGAATGTATCAACCCCAGAACAAAAGGAAAAGACCTTGTGAAGATGCTGCCTGAAATTGTTAAGAGAGTGTCATTATCCACAGTGAAACCAGTCCTGGACCGACATGGGCTGAAAGGATACTCAGAGAGGAAGAAGACATTACTCCAACATAAAAAACCCCCCAGATTACAGTTTGCAAATGCACACAGGAACAAAGAACTTAATATCTGGAGACATGTCCTGTGGTCTGATGGTCTGTTTGCCCACAATAACCATCGTTACATTTGGAGGAAAGAGGGGGAAGCTTGCAATCCTGAGAACACCGTCCCAACTGTGAAGCACGGGGGTGGCAGCATCATGTTGTGGGGGTGTTTTGCTGCAGGAGGGACTGGTGCACTTCACTAAATACATGGCATCATTAGGGAAGGAACATTAAGTGGAAATATTGAAGCAACATGTCAAGACATCAGCCAGGAAGTTAAAGCTTGGGCACAAATGGGTCTTAAGATGGACACTGACCCTAAACATATCACCAGATTAGTTACAAAGAGGCTTCAGGACAACAAAGTCAATGTTTTGGAGCCGCCATCACAAAGCCCTGATCTCAATCCTGTAGAAAATTTGTGTGCAGAGCTGAAAAGGTGTGTGGAGCAAGTGGCTTAGAAACCTGACTCAGTTACACCAGTTCTGTCAGGAGGAATGGGCCAGAATTTATCAAACTATTGTGAGAAGCTTGAGGAAGGAAACCCAAAACGTTTGACCCAAGTCATACAGTTTAAAGGCAACGCTACCAAATACTAAGGAGATGTATGTAAACTTCTGACTTATTCTATAATAATTTCGGTAATCCTAACTGACCTAAAACAGCAAAGTTTAGCCTGACTTAATGTCAGACAGTGAGAAAAAAAATGGTATGTGTCGTTTTATAAAGTGGATGTAAAGTTCTGGTTTCAACTGTAATTTCATTAACTCAAGAAAGACTGACACAGACATAAATGCTTTGTTGAGCCTAAACATTATTTCTCAGAATGTAAGGAGCAGGTTTGTACTGATCACAATGACTTGTGAGGTTATGTACGATGCAAGTTTATAGAAATTTAGCCTTATCATAAAAATGTGTGCAATATCATATTGTACCACATTTTGTCTTATTTAACTTTATTTTAAATCATAGTATCCATTGCATGGCTCTATAGTGTATATAGTGTATATATAGTGTGTGTGTGTGTGTATCTCTATTGCATTGCATTTCTTAGCTCTTCCGATTTATAGTTTATTTGTTCTCTTTTTCGTCCAGTCACTTTTTTGTGCTCTTTCCTGTGTCTGTACTGCTGCAACAAGTGAGTTTCCCCATTGGCGGTGAAAAATACAGTGCAGTCTAATCTAATCTAATCTAATCTCAAAAGTTGTAGCCTTTAGAATTGACCTACCTCCTCAACATGGTTAAGAATACTTGTTGTGTACACATCATATTGATATGCAATTTATACACATGTTTTAAAAGAAACTTGTTCTTGTGGGGGGCGTCTAACACCAGATGACCCCAAACAAAAATCAACTGAAGTGGACCCCATCTGTATGGAAGCATCTAGATTTGTCATCTCAACTCATTTACAGTATTCCAGATTTTCTTTCAGGTTGTCACACCTCTGATATTTTTGTTGCTTGTATGTAAATTTGACTTTAATCCAAACTTGAACCTGAGTTGAGTTTTAGGTTAACATAATCCTGAATCAAGCTTGGTCAAAGTCATGTGTCTTTGATGAGTGTTTCTCCTCTTGTCAGGGTTTAACTTCTTAAAAGAAGAGAGAACAAAGCACAAGAACTTAAAAAGGTAAAAATCTGACTTAAAAAAAAAAAAGAAAGAAAACTCAACAGACCCCCAGTGCATCCGTGGCACGTTGGTGACGTCAGGACGCATTTCAGGAAGAAAAAAAAATCACCACATGAAATGAGAAAACCCTTATATGGATAAATCAAGTTAGGTTTAAAAAAAAAAAAAAAAAAAGTAAACCCGTGATCCAGGTTGGTTGATCTGGAGCAGACGCTTCCTCACATGTTTTATACTTACTTTGAAGTAGGCATACTGAAGGTATCTGTACGGCTCCCTCCGATCAAACTCATCTATGGTGTCCCGGCTGGGTAAAGTCTGTCTGAAGGCAGGCAGTCCCTGTTTGCAGCGCTTCAGGCACTGCGCCCTCTTCATAACGTTCCCGAACGAGTGCAGCTCTGGAAACTCCGCGAACTTCTGCTCGTCGTCCAGCCTGACGGAGCTGCAGTTGAGGTTGCAGAAGGCCTCGCTGTCCCGCAGCAGCCGGTAGAGACGCAGAGACACCTCCATGTACTCCACCGTCTCCTTCCACTTCTCCCCGGTGTACTGGTCCAGCGCGTACTTGTAAGCGGACTCCAGAGGCATCAGCTCGTGCCTGGGGAAACTCCTGAAGCTGTACTTTTCGTACTGAGAGTTCACCACGGAGACGAAAAACGCGATCAGTAGCGCAGAGAAGACTTGGGAAGAAGTGGAGGCTGCCATTTTTTAAAAAACTCTATAGTCAGTGGTGGATGGGGTTTGGTTGGGGATGATCCAGGGCTGGCTTGTCGGTGTGCGTGGGTCTCTCTCTAGGACCGCCTCAAGTTCCACCACGTATCCGGACAAAACCTCCCCTCCCCCGGGCGCAGGGCTACGATCGGTGGCTGCAGAGAGTGGCTTCTGCTGGAGCTCCTCCTCCAACTAAATCACAAAATAAATCACTGCTGTTGTTGTCAGTGCTCGTAAATAGCCCGACTAAGGGCAAACTTCTTAAAAGTTAGCACCATAACTGAGGGAGAAACTCACATAGGGTGGGTTTATGCTCGGTTTATACCATTTAGTTCAACTTTTGGAAGCTTCTTTTATTTAATGCTGCTCTTCAAAGTGCAAACCTGTCCTCCAGGCCACCAATTAAACCCCTGGTGAGTGTCCCTCCCCCTCCCACTGCCACGTAGAAACATTCCTGCGTGGTCTGCCCCCCCCTCTCCAAAGGCCTAAATACCCCCATCGCAGCTTTATCCACGCGTAAAATCCAAAGCAAACTTTACGCGTCCTGCTTATTGTCACATTTTGATTCACGTAACTCAGAGGAGCAGCCAGATGTGCGCGTTATTCTTATTTAAATGACTCCAGAGAGGGGATGTGCCTCTGCGGAGACCCCTACGTTACCACGTTGACACATCTTGGAGGCTGCACTGCGCAGGAGCGATACGTGGTGCCCAAACTTTCCCATTCAATCACACAGTGCGTCAAGTCAGCGAGAAAGACACACAGGAAACACGGTTTACAGTTAAAATAAGAGCACAATTGGCAGCGTAGGTGTCGTTTTTGTTCATTTGCGCGTCATGCAGGGGTTAGATCGTGTATTACAGCCACATATATTTGGGTTTTGGTGATAAAACGTGCCATTTAGATCACTTGTGGAGGGTTTAGGTGTGAAATTTAAACGGAAGTCGTGCCTCTTTTCTCTGACTTGACACGTGATCATTCCTATGCTGGAACCAGGGGCAGGACTTTTCTATCCAAGTCGGTGTAGAGGAAACCAAAGTACCGGGGAGCAGGGAGTCAGCGCGCGCACACACGAACAGGCCGAACCCGCAGTTATCTCCATCGTCTTGAAGTCTATCGGCGGTGAAAATGATCAAGTGCGTGCAGGGGGTGTTGTGTCTCTCGGTTCTGGTGGCGTTCGCCGCCTGCAACGCTCCTCCGGTACCGTTAGACGACATCCTCATTGAGAAAACTTTCGAACCGGAGCAGTGCGTGCGCGCAGTCAAAGTTGGGGACTTTGTCAGGTATCACTACATCGGCATGTTTCCGGACGGCAAGAAGTTCGATTCCAGGTGAGTGTCTGACGACGGGATCGTTCTATTTTCACGCTCCGTGCGGAGCTGCACGGTGGCGAACAGCGTGCGCGATGCGTAAAAGTGCGCGTTTGTTGGTTCGCCAGAGTGAGCCACGCAGGCAAACTGAGCTCTGGGGTTTGATCCGAGGGTTCCCAAACATTTTCACATCAGCGAGCATAACAGGGGTCACACAGATGACCCCGTTCTGATCAGAGGGACAGTTCTGCCATTAAGAGACTTATTTTTAACCACACTAGATCTACTGAGATGTTCACTGTATGCTTAATTTTAAAATTTCTTCCACGACCTTTGAAGGTCTCTTGACTCAACTTTTGGAGACCACTCAGCAGTGCGTCATGCAAAATGGTCAACTGGCCAGTTCCACAGACACCCAAGGGCCCCTAAAGCTCCAGATGTTGACCTCAAATGGCAATTTTTGGTCATTTATGTAAATTGCTGCACATTTAAATCCAAATTTATGGAGTAAAATGTCAACTAAGTAAGGCTCTGCAGTGTTAGCTGATTTTGTGGCCCTGTTTGGTCAAACACCTACAAGATATTCATTCAGAAAAAATATCAACATGTGACATAAGAGGCCGAACAGCATTTTGACACTAGCATTTTAATCTGGTCTTAAATGCCTTTATCATGTATCTTAAGCAAGTCTTTCACACTTGTTCTTCATTGAGAGGCTTTTTCTGAATCAGTAGTCTTTGCAGGTTCAGACAAAATGATGACATTGTGAGAATACGTGCACATAGATACCATGAACTGGGGTTAAAAACCTGAAATCAGGGCCTTAAGGGATTTGTGTTGCTTGTTTGATTAAAGTTGTTGGTCAAGCAAGGAAACTAAGAAATAAATCACAACAGACAATTAAAACAAAGTTGTGTTTTTTTAAATGTTTCAGTTATGACCGTGGTAGCACCTACAACGTGTTTGTTGGCAAGAAGCAGCTGATTGCAGGGATGGACAAAGCTCTGGTGGGGATGTGCGTCAACGAGAGGGTGCTGGTTAAGATCCCACCTCACCTTGCCTACGGAAAACAAGGATACGGTGCGTATATTCCACTCCGCCGACTAACAGTTTGGAATGAGCATCTCTGCAAAGTTTGGGGACAGCCTGGCGTGGATCCCTCTGTGCAGCTGCTATAAATACACAGTTGAGTGAGAACAAAGCTCACTGTAACAATGAGAACAACTTGGCAGAAGCATGAGGGGCAAAAAAACTTTTTTTTTTTTGTGTTGTACGAGTCGGTCGAAGTAAAGAGGAAGTGGGCTGCTCTGGAGCGTCCATGTTCAATGATGTCAGAGGGACATCACAGACCAGGAAGTGGACCAGAGGACGCTGCTTTGGATGAAGATTGTTTGCTGTTAGAAGCTGCACTGCCAATGTTAATGCATCAACGTTGTAGCTGTTGATGTGCAAAAAATCTGCTGTTCAGAACAGAGCGTGTTTGTTGTCTGACATTATTAATATATTTTCATGTGATGGTTGTAATTAGAGGGAATCTGTCGAGGCACTGTTTACATGTAGAGACCGGTGTGTGTGCATGAACTATTTAGAGAGGAAAGAGGGGGCATGTGTGGACAGGTAAAAAGCTGAGGCCTCCACCAGCGGTCTATATATTAGAGGGATTACAAGAGGAAAAAGAAGAAAAGAGAGAAGCAAGATGGAGATTTTTAAAGTGGTATAGATGTATTTGCACCAGAGAGACTGCCACCTCATCAGTATTAAAGGTTCAATGGCTGCCACCGAAACAGTTCCCTGCTCCCCCTAAGTTCACCCTCTACACCTTATCTTCATTATCTTTATCTTTAAAGGGCTTCTGTGTGATACAGTGCGAGATAACTGCTTGACACGTTTTATAACCAGAGATAAATAAGTGTCGGGCTGCACGGTGGTGCAGTGTCACTGAACGGCTTAAATTTGCTGGTCTGCAGGTCCAAAAAAATGTCTGTGAGTTTGTTTGTGTTGGCCTTGTGATGGACTACCAACTTGTAAAGGGTGTACAGTCCAAAGTCAGCTGGGATACTCACAGATTTTCCTGTAAAGTTCTGGAAAAACATCACCAATTAACTGACTGATCTTGTAAACTGCCATAAATTACTTTCGAACATGTGGTATGCTTTGGTTTATGTTTAGGGGATGTGGTCTCAAAGTTATGCCGCATTTCTGTTTTGAAAATGTTTCACGCTGTTCATCAATATGTAGTTGGTACCTTTCATACTGTAATAAGCCCAAGGCAAAATATGTACAGAGCATGCTGCATAGTAACTATAACACCTGTGGTTAATTTGGAAATAAAGTTGGGAAGGTGACTGCTATGAAAGGTCATGAAATATGAAGTTAGATGAATATGCGATACAACATTCCACTTTTTCTCCACCTGATGATAAATCAAATACACTGAATTAAGGGCAATTTGAATCTTGTACTGACACAAAGTTAAACAAGAGATTTTCAATTGACGTCTATGAACTGAACAACCAGAACAAATCAGAATGTTAACCCATCAGTCATACTAATTAGCTTGAACAGGGGAAAGATATCAGGAGTGAAAATGCAAATACCTGGAGAGATTTATAAAATGACTGTGGTATGCTCAATGTGAGGATATGCTTTATGATACAGATTTCAGAGCAGAGATTTTCCTCTTTGCTGATTGGAGTTGGGTTGACCTGTTCTCTTCTCCTCTGCAGGCGACATCATCCCTGCTGACTCCATCCTCCACTTTGACGTCCTGCTGCTCGACGTGTGGAACCCGGAGGACGGCGTCCAGAGCAACACTTACCACACGCCCTCCGTCTGCTCCAGAAAGGTGGAGGTGTCTGACTATGTCCGCTACCACTACAACGGCACCCTGCTGGACGGGACCCTCTTTGATTCCAGGTTTGTTCGATACGATTCCTCATTTCACCCAAACAGTCCCACAGATGTGCACACCTGCTCTTCTATATCATGTGTTCTCCACTCTTTGATGCAGTCACACCCGCATGCGTACCTATGACACTTACGTCGGGATCGGCTGGCTGATCGCTGGTATGGATCAGGGCCTTTTGGGAATGTGTGTCGGAGAGAGACGCATCATCACTATGCCTCCGTCTCTTGGATATGGAGAGAATGGAGACGGTGAGTGTTGCTATAACTATTTGGTTTGATAGCTACAAAGCCCATTTCAGACTGCACTCCTTTCTGTTAATCAGGCAGCATCTGAACATGTCTGAATAAACATCCTGGTCATGTTTCTTTAAAAGTCACAATGGCAATTTTACTAAGTCTCGAGACTGTTAAGTCTCAATTGCATTAAATGATGGGAATGGACAAGTGACGTACAGTCATGACTCGATAATCTGACCCTTAGCAATCCGAAAACCTTGCTATCCGACAGGTTTTTAGGAAAAACGAATGGAACACATGAAAAACAGCCTTAACATACCGACAGCCTTGGCCGAACATGACATTTTATGTCAAAAATAAGGATAACAGCGTATTATCTGACTGAACAATCCGACAGATTGGCTACGTTCAGACTGCAGGACTTGATGCTCAATTCTGATTATTTTGTGAAATCCGATTTTTTTGCGAGTTCATTCACATTTCTAATTAAATGCGACTTGTATGTGATCTGCTGTGTGAACTTCCTACGATCCAAAAGTGTCCCGTATGTGCAGAGGAAGACATGACGACGTCACACACAGCGAGCGTGCTCAGTGTTTATGGAAGTAAACGATGGTGGAAGCAGAACTGGGACAGCTATCCTAAACTAGCATCAGCAGCCAAGTACTGCCTGTGCGTTGTGACCACTTCCCCTCGACCGCGCAGATTATTCTGATACTCATCGTTAATTGGGCCTGAATATCCAGAGACCAGAAAGTGCTATTCGGACCAGCCCTACTAGTTATTAGAAAACCACTATAAACAATAAATATTCACAACAAATGAGCCTTCAAGCATCAAGCCCTTCTTGTACCTTGACCTCCGTCTTGACAATCCGACAGCCTTGCTATCCGACATAAAAGAAGATTTTACATGTAGTGTTAGATTATCGAGTTACAACTGTACTTGTGTAAAGTCATTTGGGGACCTTTGTTTTTTTTTTTTAGCACTAGTGTTGGTCCCAAAACATTACAGAGAGCAAAAGACACAACTTGTGTTAAAAAATATCACAAGACACTTTTTTCCTTCGCTGTGCCCTTCAGTTTCTACTGTTACAAACTGAAATGTTCACATCAATGCGATTAAAAAGGGAGTCTGTAGCCATTTAGTTTCCTAAAATGTAACAGCTCAGATTAAAAAGATTCACTAATAATAAATGTAATCCAGGTTTTAACAAAAGGACCTCATGTTTAGTACGCTGCTTCCAGCTGTGTAGGAGTCTTTCCTCTGAGTTCAGTAAATAGCTGCAGCATCAGACAGCAGCAAGATCCATATGAGCGTCTCCACAGATAGAGAGTTGTGCGTATTCATGCACGTTGCCCAACAGCAGTAACTTTATCAATTACGTTTAATGATAAGTTATCACAGACATGGAAACAGAATTAATCGGGCTCTAATAGCAAGTTAAACTGTGTTCTTTTCGTCACCTCAGACAGGTGAGCTGTCACACAGAGTTACAGTTAACAAACTGCAGCTCAATCACTTGTTGGCTGTCCTCAGATTTAGTCCCGAGCTTCATCACAGCTGTCAGGATATTTTTAATTTGCTGTTGGTAAAATAGAAGTTATATTAGCTTCACTTATGGATAGAATTTTTAGTGTTTAGGAAACCGTAAATAAACAAGACTGGAATTTATTTGGCCAATTTGCTAAACTTACTATTATTTTAGATTTAATCTTGTGTTTCTTACATCATTATGTATTACACATCACTTGGTGTACTGTCTGATCTTGTGTAAATGACAAATATTGCATGGGGACCACAGCTCTCTCCTTCACTGAATGTCTTCATAAAGCTTGGAGAACATTAACACAACAGTGACCCATTTCTGAATGAAAGAACACCGTCACTTTAGCAGATTGATAAAGCAGCAATGTTACATATCTGACATCTGAAAAGGGTTTTATAAAACCCATGTGAGTGATTTTCCTGATTTGAAAGCCTCCGCTCCTTAGAGAGTAATAAGAAATTCATGACTGCAGTGAAAAGCAACAAGTAGTGCAGCTGCACACTTGGAGAGAAAGGTGGCAGTAGATCACACATGAACCAAATGACTCATCTTGTTTTACTCCCTCAGTCTCCTCAGAAATAAAGAATATTTGACAAATCCTTACCCTGATCAGTTTCTTTGGAGAAACTGCATCACTTCTTCTCACCTGATAAACATTGACCATTTTAATTTTCGTGGATCATTTAGTTTTTATTTTATAGCCAAATGTTCTTTCACTTAGTTCCTCAAATCCAGTTTTCTTTTTCCTCATCAGACCATAACTACCAACATGGTAACGTGACCTGGGGAAACGGTTAATCCAGCTCTGTTGTATAGGTGACAAAACCTGCCCATCAGCATTCCTAAAACTTACAACATTGAAAAAAAAATGTAGAGATGAATATTATAAGCAAGGCCCCCAGTTAAATTAGATATTCACTATTAAACCAGCTACAGTCATGAACAACAGTTGACATACACTTGTGAACACCATGTACATCATTGCAGTCTTAAGTTTCCAGTGATGCATGTAACTCTTAGTTCTCTAAGATGGAATCATTGAAACACGGGCTTCTGTCACACAGAAAAAACAATCATATATTTTGGTGCTTTCATAGATTTGTTAGAGGTCGTCTGGAAATATGACAAAATCTTCTGGGTCAAAAATATACATACAGCAATGCTAATATTTGTTAATATGCCCTTTGGCTACTTTCACCACAACTAGGCTCTTTTGGTAGACATCCACAGGCTTCTGGCAACCTTCTAGTTGTATCTTTGACCACACTACTCACTAACTCACCAGCCTGATTTAGCCATTTCTTTACCACTATTGATGTGTGTTATGTGTAAGAATGTGTAAATAATCCTCCTTTTGCAATGTTCCATTTACTTTGTGTAAAGCAGCAGTTTGACTGATAGCAAACAGCTCTGGAGCATAATACTACCACCACCATGGTTGACTATAGGTTTGGTGTGCTTCACCTTCTTTCCTCCATACATATTTCTGCTCATTCATGTTTGTTTTATCTGACCACAGAACTTTCCTCCAGAAGTCTTTTCTTTGTCCATGTGATCAGCAACAAACTTCATTCAACCCTTAAGGTGCTGCCTCTGGAGAAAGGGCTTCCTTCTTGCACGGCAGCCTCTTAGCCCATTGTAACATAAAACACGTTTGACTGTGGGCACCGACACCCAACCAAGTTTAAACAGATGATTTTGGGACCTTTAGCTGCTTTGGAATGGCCTTTCATGAAGTGACTTTCATGACTTGTTTAACCCTATTCAGGAATTTCATGTTTCCATGTGTCGAAGGTCTTTCAGGGTCTATTGGACTCCAAGAAAGAATATGTGCAAAATATTTGTTGGTATTCATTAAAGACTTTTATAATATGTTAAATATCACCTAAACCAAATGGCCTGGGGTCCAAAAGTCCTGAATAGCGTAAAGTCAACAACTCCTTTTTCAGATCTGTACTCAGCTCCTTAGACACTTCCATTGTAGTGTTTGTGGCTGAGTCTAATGAATATATCAAACTGGCTCAGAGGAGCCACCAGCTGTCATCAATTGTAATCACTCACAAGAAGCTAAGAGGCCATGCCACGAAGAAAATTAGTTTAACACAGCTTTCTAAATCACCAAAACTGATATTACAAATTGCTATATGTATATTCACAGCTGACAGATTTTGTCATATTTCTAGAAGACACAGAACAAATCTGTAAAAACACCCAAATCGTGTTACTGTGGCAAAGACGTGTGTTTCAATGACTCCATACTGTTAATTAACAACATAAATGATGGAAATTAATGTTTCTTTGGTTTTAAAAAGGTCCACATTCTGTTGTGTTAACATCACATTTTCACAATTTGCATTAGACGTTGAAGAGCAACAGTTTGAAAAACTAATTGTAACTTAGTCCTCTTACTGCTTACAAGTAAGGGATGGATCCCTGCAGTGGTTATAGGAGGTAGAACAAAAAATAATTCTTCTCATCCTCTTCTCTCCTCAGGTAGCGACATCCCAGGACAGGCGTCTCTAGTGTTTGATGTTGTACTGTTGGACCTCCACAATCCCAGAGACGGGATCGCAGTGACGAATCAGAAGGTGCCCGAGTCCTGCACAAGGAAGACCGTTGCTGGAGACTTTGTACGTTACCACTACAACGGCAGCCTCCTCGATGGGACATTTTTTGATTCCAGGTATGTTCACTATTTTTCATTTTAATTATACGGAAAGACTCAAACTAAACATTTAGATTCTCAACAGACGTGTATGTTTCGTCTGCTGTTCCACAAGCGGCCAGAGAGTGGCAGCATCTCTCTGTGCACTGGAGACATACTGAGAGATGAATCGAAACTTAAACCCTCGTGTGGAAGGTCTTTCCTTGTTTGTCTTGAATGTGAAAAAAGTTTCCTTCTTTGATCAGTGTTTTCAGTTAACATACAGGTCAATTACAAGTGAATAACAGCTCATTGATGAAGGCAGACCACTATTTCTGTTGTGTCTGATATCAACAGAGAATAATTTAATCTATATTTAAACATTTAATTTTAAGAAGATGGACTGAGAGCCGATGGATGGGTTTAATCAATGAAGATCACTGGAGACAGACAGTCGATTGCTGCCGGGAAAGAACTAACTTGAGCTGGAGATTATTCACACGCAATGATTTCTTGGACAACCCCCTTATTTGTGCTTCACTTTAATGTTCGCCACACATCTGCAAAAGTCTGTGTCTGCATCTTGCACAGTTGTGACGCTATTGTGTTAAAAAAAAAAAAAAAAACGTCAGTCAGATGAACACCTGCCAAAGTACTCGGAACTGGCTTTGTGGTTTCGGTTGCAGTCGGTGTCTCCAGGGCCACAATTTTCCACAATGACACACAAACAGATACACATGGTGAAACCAACATTGGCTACACTATCATAGCTAATAAAAGATATATGTTTATACACCACATTGAGATGTAGGACTATGATGAGCTAAAAATATATTCAAAGTTAAAGAATGTGACATGGGGGTGTAAAGGGACTCTTTTACCTAATTATTTCCTCCTACTCTGTACTGAAGGGCAGGACGACACCCATCCTCAAACCTCAACCTAATTTCGATCTCAACTACACATCTGTAAAGTTTTGTGTCTGCATCTTGCATAGTTGTGACACTATTGTGTTGAAAAAATGCAGTCACCTACGCAGTGCCTATGCCAGACATATGACGTTTTTGATTTGTCAATCGACTTTATGTTCGTGTAAGCAAAAAACCACAAATGCACCCCTCAGAACAGCTTGCCGGTTGCTGCTTACGTGCAGTGGTTTGGAGGGTAACATGTTTTCTTCCTTTGCGTCCTACAACAGACACTTTAACTCCTGTTGTCAGCACTTTTAAGTGTTGGGTATGATTCATTTGTCCCCTTCTGTGCACTGCTTAAACTTGTTGTATACTCATTTAAATCACTTTATATTATGAAACAGTCCTGTATGTTAAATTCACAACATGTGCCCAGATATTCAGTTTGATAATATTTTCTTTTGCACAGCTACTCCCGTAATCGTACCTACGACACCTACGTGGGTCGAGGTTACGTCATCGCCGGCATGGATGAAGGTCTGATTGGCGTCTGTATTGGAGAGAAACGCACCATCACCATCCCCCCACATCTCGCCTACGGAGAGGAAGGCACAGGTGTGTGTGTGTGTCCAAAGCCTGGATACTCTTATGTGTATCACGGATATGTTCTCTTGCACTTCTTTGTTGGCAATGTGTTATATTGAACACATTTTTTCTGTCATCACATCTCTTAGGCTCTAAGATCCCCGGATCAGCTGTGCTGGTGTTTGACATTGACATAATCGACTTCCACAACCCTTCAGATAACACTGAGGTCGTTATCACTTTCAAGCCAGAGGAGTGTGATAAGCAAACCAAGAAGGGAGACTTTGTCAAATATCACTACAATGCCTCACTGATGGACGGCTCATCCATTGACTCTACGTGAGTAAACTTCTGATGCACACTTGTAGGCCTCCTGGGAAAGCAACAGATCTTAGAACAGGGGTCGACAACCAGCGGCTCTTTCATCCCTCTGCTGAGGCTCCTTGTGGCTTTGGAAAATAAAAAATGAGTATTTTAATCCAAATGTATTTTATTTTAGCTCGTTAGTTTTTAAAATGTAATTCTAAATTTGAAGATTTTTGTGAACTTGTAACATTAAAATAAAACGTGTTTAATTTTTTTGTCACTCAAAACATGCGACAAACTGTGATTTTGACGGAAACTTTTCCCGCATGTTTCTCAAGAGTAAAGCTTTTCAACTTTGTGAGTTCTAATGTCACACTTGAGTTGTGTTGGGACTTTTTTTTTGTCAGAAGCGACTAGTGACAAATCTAGCGACTCTATCTGGTGTTACTGGAGACTTTTCTGGTGTTTTGGAGACTCTGAGGTGACAACACCTATTGTTATGCAGTTACTGTCCTCAGCGAGCAGAGGTGCTGCCGTGAGCTCCTCCGGTCCCAAAGTGCTCACAGGCGGCCAGGAGTCTGGTCAGCAGTCCCAGCTGCAGTCAGCAGGACAACCAGACGGCATTTTTACTTTGCTGCAGGTGGATAATTTAAGATCAGCTCTTATTTCATAAATACCAGGAGAATTCAAATAGACATTAAGTATTTTATTTGAAAGTAACCTCCAACCCAGCGTCTGAAGCACTGATGTGAGGACATGCTTTTCTTCTTTGGGCTGAGCATAGGAGGTCACATACAAGTAACCGTTATTGGCAGAGGTTAAACATCTGCCCAGCTCTGTCTTCTTTAGTTTCACAGCATCGCCAACTCATATTTCGCTTTCAGCCACTGCTGAACAAACAAATTTCAAAGGTTGCTTTTCTTTCTTTCTTTCTTTAGTTTCTCTGCAGCCGAAGCATCACACAGCATCCATACTGTTACAAAAAAAAAAGAAAGAAAGATGGACTGAGCACAACTTAAACATGTGACAGGAGACTTAATTGATTATTTGAATCTTCTGACGTGTCATTGTACGTAGCCATAATAACCCAAATATTTCCTGCATATCAAACAGCTGAACTAATAGAGACTCACAGTTTCTACAATAAAATCATTGGGTTAAGCTTAGAAGAGATCCAGCACTATCTGAGCTGATAAATATATATTTTTTAGGAAATACTGTTTAATGGGGTCACATAGATAATTAGATGTCATTTAAAATCTATCTCTGAGATGCTACCTACACAGTGAAGGTGAAAACAATTTAGTTTGCGGTACAACATTCAGAACTAACACTCTGAAAGTTCAGCTAATAAACATCTATCCTGAAACTACTTTGTTAATCTGGACAATCCACATCCACCGAACACAATTGTTTTAACTTCTTTATACTTAAGAAATCATCCGTATTTCTACTGTCTGCTGTATGATGTGTGTGAGTCCCGACTTCCCTGGACATAGGCTCCCATCCTTACAAATCCCATCTGCAGATTTAGAAGAATGACTTTTCATACTTAGCATATCTTCTCTTACTTTGGAGTTGAAGTGAGAGTTGCTGTGTTAGCCTGACTTCAAAATGTAGATGTAGACAAGCAGTTCCCAGAATTCAGCTGTTCTCAAAATTTTAAATTTGCATTTAATAATGATCACATTATCTTGAAAACCAAAACTTATCCTTGACAGCAGTCTCACTGTTAAAAATATTTTCCATCAGTCGAACCATGCTTGACAAAATGTCTTCTATACCTTGAAATGTTTTTTCTCACACAGCGAACTTTGAGAATATGTCACAAAATTCAAATACAATATAAATACACACAAATCAGTGAAAAAAAGGAAGTATGCGATACATTTAGAAGGCACAGAAGGCATATGCTTACTTAAGGTTGATGACTGGAAATACAGTTACTTAGTGTATTTTTGCTTCATTTAATTTATTTCAGGTATAATTATGGAAAGACGTACAACATTGTGCTGGGAGCCAATCAAGTCGTCCCTGGGATGGAGGATGGACTGTTGGACATGTGTGTGGGGGAGAAAAGGCACCTTGTTATTCCTCCTCACCTCGGCTACGGGGAGAGAGGAGTCAGTAAGTGACATACAAAAACACACACACATGCTTTACATGCAGCCAGTAGTTAAGGTTATTCAGGAGAGTGATTCTTTTTGGTTTTGACAATATATATTTCGAAAGTCTTTAAACAAATCATATGTGGCATTAGGTTCTTTCAGGAAAATTATCAAAATCTAAGCCTAAAATAGTGATGTTTTATCAATATCACTTTGTTCTACATGTCTCATGTAAAAAAAATTGCCAAATTCTGAAAATATTCACCACTGGCTTCCTCAGAAAATGAATCTTGCACTGGGCCTAGAGTCAGGATACATCCTTTCTTGGCAATACCAAGCCTTTTCCAATATCTGTGACATTTTTACAGAATAAACACACTTATGTTTCCTGGAATTCACCAATGCTGTTTGTGTGTTGTGTAGCTGATGAAGTTCCAGGGAGCGCTGTGCTGGTGTTCGACATCGAGCTGGTGGAAATGGAGGAAGGACTTCCTGAAGGCTACATGTTCATCTGGAACGACGAGGTGTCACCTGACCTCTTCGCTGAGATGGACAAGGATCAGAACAAGGTGGTGGAGCCCTCTGAGGTATGTGAAAACCTTTTTACTGATTGTTTTGTTTTTTTAAACACACAAATGCACATCTGCAACGTTTTCCTCTTTTTGCTACTACCTGTATACCCTTAACTTACCCTCTCCAATCTCTCGTTATTTCCAGTTTACTGACTACATCTTACAGCAGGTGAATGACGGTAAAGGCCGCCTGGCTCCCGGCTTCGATCCTTACCGCATCATTGACAACATGTTCTCCAACCAGGACCGCAACGGAGATGGAAAGATCACAGAGGCAGAGTTCAAACTTAAAGCAGACGAAGCCGCTGGTCATGACGAGCTATGACGGGACTGAGTGTAGAACTCAGATCAGGGTGAAAGGCGAAGGGTCAGACAGTCGGGGAATGGGGGCTTATAGTAAATATGTGGGTGGTAGAATAGCAACAGATGGGGTTGTATGTGTAAAGTGAGCAAGTGTTTAATGAAAAATGTGCTGACAGAGATTTTGTGTTTTTTTTATCTCGTGGACTGAGTTGATGGTCAAACGGCATATTCTCCGTTAAGTGCCAAATGAATCTGAAAAAAAAGAGTGAGGATTTAGGAAGACGATTATTTGTGAAGTATTGGAAAGAGAACACCTATTCTGAGGACTATGATGACAGTGAATGACTTTGTGTTTACCTCCTCGCTCATCAGGTTCTTTACGTCTTGGTTTATGTGACTTTTTTTCTTTTTTTTTGAAGGGTATAAAAGCACTAGTGTGTGAGAGAACAAACTCCACGCTCTCTACATTTAACACTCCCTTTACTTTACGGTCGTTTATTGTTGTCAAACTTTATTTTCTTCTCACTGAGTATTAATTTGCCTGAAATATCTGACAGCCTTCCAGAAGCGTTGACTTAGTCATCACCTACTTTAAGATACTGTGATGGAAGGAAGCTACATTGGTTTCCTAGAGGAGAAAATGAGTGATTGTTTTAAGTGAGAATAATAAATTATAGTAACATTTTATTTCTGTGGTTCTAGTCAACACCTTCCGCTTTTAAATGTCAAGACGTCTTCTGTGTTTTCTGCTGTTAAAACCATCCAACACAACATTATAACACTGGAAGGTCCACAATCCTTAAATGTTGCCATTGCTTTCCAGTCCTGCAATCACTTTTGCTCAGCTGTTGCTTGTTTGTTTCTTCTCCAAATGTCAGCCCCAGTTTAAGACTTTGTGTTATTGTGTGTGCATGTGTGTTTGTGAGAAAGACAGAGAGAAACATGTGTGAATGTTGTTTTTTTGTATTGCTTTTTTGTTCAGGAGAGGCTTGATGATGGTAACTATGTCAACTCATAATGTCCAATCGATTAAATGACCTGACCTAAATATGTGCTTAGCTTGTGTCTGTCCTTTTGTGCTTCATTCGAGTGCGTCTTGCTGAATACTACCGTTTTATATCAAGTCCAAGTATGCTATTTTTTATTTAAAGGTCTCAAAGCAACTTGTGCATTTTGTTAAACAATATAATGGTAATGGTTGTGGGATTTTTTAGAATTGAACAAAAGAGGAGCTGCTAGGTGCTCGGTGGTTAGCACCGTCGCCTTGCAGCTAGAAGGTCCCTGGTTCGCGTCTGTGAAGTTTGCATGTTCTCCCCGTACAGCGTGGGTTCTCTCCGGGTTCTCCGGCTTCCTCCCACAAGTCCAAAAACATGTTGAGGTTAATTGGTGATTCTTGTCCAGGGTGTCCCCTGCCTTCACCCTAAGTCAGCTTGGATAGACTCCAGCCCCCCGCGACCCTAGTGAGGATAAAGCGGTGTGTAGATAATGAATGGATGAATGAACAAAAGACAAAACTGGAGATATGATTAGGATGATGTGTTATCTGATATTCCAGACCATGGGTTTATGACTGGAGTAATCAGGTTAAGGGCTGGATCTGGAGAGTTATCACATTATCTAGAGGATGTGATGTCCTTTTCCTCTGCTGCCCCGAGGCTGTGGAATGCCCTCCCTGACCACCTGAGGGCCCCGCAGTCTACAGATGATTTTAAAACATAGCTTTTTTTTAAAAGTATTTTGCTGAACTCTGTTATTAGGTTCTACTTTTTTTTTTTTTTTGGACTGTTTAGTAATCTTAACTAGTTTTGTTTTACCCAGTAGCACTTTACATCAGCTTCTGCCAGGACAGCTGTGTACCAACACGCACAAGGGTGAGTTACAACAATGACAAACCCTGGTTCACAGCTAAACTCAGACGGCTCAGGTCAGACAAAGAGGCAGCATTCAGGAGTGGGGACAGAGACAGTTTCAGAGAGGCAAAGTATGCGTTTAGTAAGGAGGTGAGAAGAGCTAAGTGTCAGCACTGCGTCTGGCCAACAGCCTGAATCAGCACGACTGCAGATTTGAAAGACAATGGGACAATCCTGATTCCATCCTCCATCACACCTCAGACCAACCACAACCCATCACCTGCATTTCCTCCATCACAGCAGGAGCCTCACCACAGCTGCCCACCTCAGAGGCTCCCTCCCGAAAGGTGTCAACAAACTATTCAAGAGGCAGAACCCCTGCAAGGCAAGTGGGCCGGACTCTGTCTCTCCATCCACCCTGAAGCATTGTGCTAATCAGCTGTCTCCAATGTTCACAGACATTTTTAACACCTCACTGGAGACATGTCTCGTTCCAGCCTGCTTCAAGGCCTCCACCATTATCCCCCTCCCCAAGAAGCAGAGGACATCTGGACTGAATGACTTCAGACCCGTCGCCTTGACCTCTGTGGTCATGAAGTCATTTGAGCGCCTCATGCTGTCACACATCATAGACATTACTGACCCACACCTGGACCCCCTGCAGTTCGCCTACAGAGCCAACAGGTCTGTAGATGATACAGTAAACCTGGCCCTGCACTTCATCCTGCAGCACCCAGACTCCCCAGGATCCTACGCCAGGATTCTGTTTGTGGATTTTAGCTCTGCATTCAATACTATCACCTCCTGCAGGACAAGCTCTCCCAGCTGAACGTGCCAGACTCCACCTGCAGGTGAATCACTGACTTCCTGTCTGACAGGAGGCAGCACATGAAGCTGGGAAAACACATCTCAGACTCCCGGACCATCAGCTCTGGTTCACCTCAGGGCTGTGTTCTCTCCCCTCTGCTCTTCTCCCTGTATACAAGCAGCTGCGCCTCCAGCCACCAGTCTGTCAAACTCCTGAAGTTCACGGATGATACGACCCTCATTGGGCTCCTCTCTGATGGAGATGAGTCCGCCTATAGGAGGGAGACAGAGCGGCTGGTGTCCTGGTGCAAGCTGAACAACCTGGAGCTCAACACTCTCAAGACAGTGGAGATGACTGTGGACTTCAGAAGGAACACAGCCCCACTCACCCCCATCACCCTGTGTGACTCCCCAGTGGACCCCGTGGACAACCAATACCAGCAACTCTCAAAACATTGTTGTAAATAACACTCCCATTAAATATGTTTTTTTAAATTTAAATTTAACTTTGATTCTTTGCACTATTACAGTTATTTTTATTTTTAGTTACTTTACTGTATATTTATTGTTTACCGTATATTTATTGTTGTTTTATTGCACCAACCCACCATAACAAATTCCTCGTATTGTGTGAACTATACCTGGCAATAAATCTGTTTCTGATTCTGATTCTTTGAGATTGCGAAAATATAAAGTGCAATATAAATAAAATGTATTATTTTTATTATTATTAGTAGTAGTATTAGTATTATTATTCAGATGTGGCTCCCATTAGGACAAGAACCATTTGTCCATTGTTTGACATAAACAACTCCCCTATTCAACGACCCATTAAAGATGGTGTCTGGGATGGCCAAAAAAACCTCCTTCGCTGAGCAGAGGGAGAGACGGGTCCCAGCTGCAAGGTCTCAAATTACACAGTGCTAAGCAAGAAACAATGCGAGTTTCAGATTGATCTCAAAGAAAGAAAATGGGTTGGGATTTTTAGGGAAAGGAGGGGATTCGGACAACATTCGTAAACGTATATAAGGACATGTATGTAGCCAAGTCTCGAGATTTTGCTTATGTTTGTCCGTACAGCCTCTGTATTGAAAAAACATTATTCACATCAGACTCTGAAGAATGACGATTTTTTTCCTCTTTGGCTGCATGTTTTGCCTGATTATCACTGGCCCATAGCAGGCAGACTGAGTCACCACAGCAACAATCTCCAACTGCATCTGCTGCTGCGTCAACCCCCTCAGACCACCTCCTGGACACAGTTGTTCACTTATTAACCTTGTATTTGCCCTCAGCTCAGTGAGGACTTCACCACCTGCCATGCAGGAGGTAGCTGAAAATACAGTGCAGTCTGATGTCCTCCAAAAAAGAATTACATGAATCTGAATTCAGGTCTGGATCATGAGTCGACCCTTTAAAATTTCTCATTCCCTTTTTAGGAGCCAAGGCACTGTTTGAAGATAAGTTGGCCAAAACTCCTTCATTAAAAGTCAAATCTTTAAGCACTTTTTCTTTTTTTTGACATCATACAGAAAGGAAATGAGTTACTTTTTGTCAAACTAAGGGATAACTTTAAACACTTTGAACAGCACTTACATAACAGCCTCAACATATTTGCATTACAAACTATTATTCATTTGCACGCCAAAAGGTCAACCAATCAAAAGTAGAACAATTCCGCGGGAAAAACTCAGCAAACCCTGAAGAAGAAAGAGAAGAAGAAGAAGAAGAAGAAGAAGAAGAAGAAGAAGAAGAAGAAGTAGAAGAAGAAGAGGAAGAGGAGGGCTCTTCAGCTGCAATCACTCCCAGCAGAGATATCAAGGAGACCTGAAGCTACTGAAGTCAGATGACAACAAAGCATGAGACAGCGTGCAGTGAGACCCATGGGCGTTTCTGTTGCTGGTTAACCGACCTGGTTCTAGGCACGTCCCGGTGCTGTGCGTGCTGGGCGGGGTCTCTGCGTTGCGCGCTGCAAAGACGATCCCCATCGGCTGGAAGTTGTCAGTAATTATCTCGGAAGCTGCCGGACTGGAGACACGCTTTCTGTTGTTGTTGTTTGGATATCCCCACGTTGTCGCTTTGGAGTTTATTTTTTCTGCAGCCCAAACGAAGGAGCAGATGATTTTTTATTTCTTTTTTAATCTCTCGGAGAGAAGTTTCTGCTAAGTTTGCTGCGTCAGTAGCTTTGGAGGATGGGGGTCGTCAGCTTGCACTGCCAGGTACGTTCAACGATCTGTGGTTTGAATTATTTATGTGGTCTTATTATGTTTTAACCTAGTTATGGAGATATGAGTCACAAACGGTGTCCACTGGCAACGCAAAGGACATGTGAGCGACACGTGTAAATGCTGAACTGAAACACTGCGCAGTTAAAATGCAGCCGAAGTCGTATTTGTGTGATTATTACGTGTGCTAACACAGAAATAAACCGTCTGCAGGAACGAGCCCTTCAGTTCAGCTTCGGTTTACTTAAATCGTCCATACTTTGTTTTTTGGGTTTTTTGTTTTGTTTTGCAGCGCTGCAAAATCGTGTTGCACATTTCAGATGAAGCATTCCCCACTTTCAAAGTTGTACAGCTTTTGTGCAATTCGTCCAAATGCCAGAAAAGAGGCATTTCACTGCAGCTGAGAAGTTAAATAGACGAGTAATGGAGAAACAGAAGAAATAGTGAAAAGGAATATTTGTGTGGAGGATTTGTTGAGGCTGTGGGCAGGTTTTCTTGACTGTTTGGAGTTGGCATTGGTGGTGTGGTATCTGGTGTTTCACTTCATGGGTTTTGAAGGTCAGCTGGGTTCAGAACTTTTAATGACTCTGTGGTAGCTTCTGCTGTCTTCTACGCTGTGTTGTGCTGGAGTGGACAGGGACAGGAAGAGGCTCGACAAGCTCATCGGCTCTGTTTTGGACATGGGTGAGAGGAGGATGATAGCCAAGCTGACATCCATCGTGGACATCACCTCTCACCCCCTGCACGACACTGTGGGGGTCT